AAAAAAAAAAAAATCACTTTACAAAGTCTTAGAGGTTAAAGTCTAATTTTTACCCTCACTTATCTGGTTTCTTAGTATCCACTTTGATAGATAAGGGCTTAGACTAAACCAAGAAGGCCAAAACTTTAAAAAGATATAATGTTGGTAGCTCTGAGGTTCTTTTCATTTCAAGGTAAGTATTTGTGTAACAGCCAGTGAAACTGTGGCTGCACTAATGGCTAGTCTTAAACTAAAAACAGGTTTGGGAGGGCCACGTCAACAGTGTGGGGATTTTTGAGTTCTGCCAAGATCACAACATAGGCCATTCAGGAAACCCAAAGGTTTTTGAGATTTCACAATCTTCTAACATTGGAAATGGAGCACAAAACACCTTTCGATTTCCCCTTTACTGGAGGACCACACATATGCCGAAAAAATAATATGCCAAAGTACTACATCAGGCCACTCTCACATACCAACATGCTAACAGGACACGGACAGAGGAGAGATCACTGCCTCTTTTCTAAAATAAAAAGTGGCTATCTCACTCCTTGATATTTGTGGGGTGGATGTGGAGGTCAGAATTTGGGAAAATAGGAAGGAAAAAAGAGTTACAACTCATAAAGTAATCTTTCCAAGACACAATTCAGGACAAAGGAAGCTAGGAATTTCCCATGAGTTTTATACAGCAGATGGTATAGATCCCTTTCTACTATGCTTATTACAGAAGAAATAAAGGGCTCTGTTGAATTATTTAAGTGCTATAACCAGTTTCAACAGCTCCTGATGCCAGCAATAATCTACTCACCTTGCTCACCGTATATTGTGGGAGGAAGATGATGCTGAGGAAAAAACTGAGGCGGCATATCTCCAGGTCCAGTAACAGGTGGGTAGTAAGTCGTGGGTGAATTATGAATAAAATGTGGGTGGTGAGTCAGGTAGGGGGGTAGGTGATGGGTAGGAGACATGGCTGAGGGGTAACTCGGGGGATAACATTCAGGAGACTGGGGTGTGACCACCACCCGGCGGACTCCAGTATTGTCTTCAATCACCTAATTAAAAAAAAAAAAAAGCAAAAGGAAAGAATTTAATACATATTATTAGCATCCTGTGAATATATGCAGTATTAATAATGTCCCCTTTAATTTTAATTTTCTCTTCCCTCATAGAAAAAAATTAATGCATATTATATTCTGGTTCTAATTCAAACAGTTAAATGAGCTCTAGAAGTAATAACACTTAACTATTAAAATTTATGAAAATATTCATCAACCACTAATTATGATCCCACAAAACCTTTTGGAGAGACCAACAGCTTGATAATAAACCTAATTTTTGTCAAAATTTTCAATGGCTTCATCTAAAACAAGGGAATTTAATGTGTGCTTAAACTGATTTTAGGAATGACTCTGAAGATGGAATGTAACTATCCATATAGCCTTTCTAGGCTACATAAGGAGGTCTTCCAGGGCTGAGTTTCCAGATCTGCCTGACAGCATTCTACTCCATTCCTGCTATACACAGTTCCATTATCATAAGGGCTTCAGGAATCAAAGGGAATAGCAAGGGCACAAGCCACAGAAGTGCCATAAAAGATCATTTAATCTGGGACTAAGGATGTGGATGAAATGAAGGGATTCTGACCAATGAAAAACTTGAGCAATCCCAAGTCAAGATGGACACCTTTGCTCTCAAGCTGTCCTGACGACATAATGAGTGCTGCGAAGGAAGATACTCTGAAGGGCGGCCAGTTATGAGCAGAAGAGGTCAATCAACATTCTACCCATACTTCCTTCAAATGTGTTTTAATTCACCCATGGAAGGCAACTAAGGCAGTGCAGTGCCAATATTCATTGCCTCTGTGACCAACATCATGCCATTTGCTCTAAAACAATTCTGGTGAGACACAAGAAATAACTAATACAACAGATACCATAACTAAAAGGTAAAGCTGTGGGCTACAGAGAATGATGGAATGAGGTGGGAGAACCAGGAAAGGCTTCAAGGACTTTAAAGAATTGGTAGGGTTGGGACAACTGAAAGATGGCCTCTGGGTCAGGGTCCTACAAAGAAGGGGACACAGAGTGAACCTGGAAGCCAGAACCAAGCTGCCATGGAGACACTCCAGCTGGTGTAATCAAATATTTAAGACAATCGTGCACACACTCTGACAAGAAGTTTTGTTTTTCAAAAAACGAAAGCAAAACAGAAAATTGAACTTGTGTATTGAAATGGATTTTTCACTACACCTCAGGAGGTTGATTATAGGCCAAAATAAAATGACTTAATTGTATCTAAAACATTCTAACAACAAAAAAACTGTACTTAGCTTCATTTTTAAAAAATATTGCTTAAGCCAAATTGGCAAGTCTTTCAATGTTTAGGCTACACTTCAGTGTACAAGACAGGTTTAGTTTGAACTAACAGCCATTAATCTTCATATTAAGAAAACAAGGCTAGGCACAGCAGCTCACGCCTGTAATCCTAGCACTTTAGGAGGCCAAGGCAGAAGGATTGCTTTAGGCCAGGAGTTTGAGACCAGACTGAGCAACAGTGAGACCCATTTCTACAAAAAGTAGAAAAATTTATCTGAGCATGGTGGCACGTGCCTGTAGACCCAGCTACATGGGAGGCTAAGGCAGGAAAATCACTTGAGCCCAGAAGTTTGAGGTTGCAGCAAAGTATGATGATGCCAATGCACTGTAGCCTGGGCTACAAAGCAAGAGAAAGGGGAAAGGCGAAAGGGGAAAGGGGAAAGGAAAGGAAAACAAAAATCTTTATATTCATTAATACACCTAACATAAATATTTCTACTATTTTAATAGTTCATATTAACTCCTTAAAAATAAGATTCCTAGTCATACTCCCCACTAAAGTTCAGGACATAGGGACATAGCTTTGTACATGTTCTTTAATAAATGTAACCCCTTCTGGGCCTTGACAAGCTAATCATACTAACCTCATTTATGAATGTACAGCTGCTGGCTGCTAATTTTTAAGTGAATGTAAAAGGGATGCTTAAACCGTGACAAAAGAAATTCTCATGCATGTATTGACATTTATAATCAGAGCACCTTTTTTTTTCTTTTGAGACAGAGTCTTACTCTGTCACCCAGGCTAGAGTGCAGTGGCATGATCATAGCTCACTGCAGCTTCAAACTCCAAGACTCAGGCAATCCTCCTGCCTCAGCCTCCCAAGTAGTAGCTGGGACTACGGGCGTGAGAATGCAGGGCATACGAATGCTGTTGCACAGAACGCTTTGTACAATTTTAGTATAAATACGTTACAGATTTTTCTAACCATCTGATACAAACAATGCATTATTCTACAGTGTCGTCTTTCCCTCCCCACCCCCAACTAACTATTGAGAAAAAAGTAAGGCATATTCCAGATGTTTCTCTTTCATGTAAACTTTATTCAATTTGGGAAGGTCTACAGAAGTATTTATTTTCTAGAAGTTTACCACCTTTATTCTTTCATTCGATGTAAAATTTTCAGTAGGCAACCAACCACATAGACTTGACTGATGAAATAAAACAATAACAGGGCTCTTACTAGATATGAAGAACTCTTTTAAAGACTTTTAAACAGGAATAATTATAATGAA